AGAGGAATCAGTAAAAAGCGATCTTGTCAATGATTATTACTTACTTGAGTCAAGTTACGCTAATTTTGCGATTTGCTAAGAGCCAATCAATTTCATCGCTAGTTAAGGAACTTGCCAGGTATGTTACCAGGAGACACGCAATATCCTTATTTGGCCAATATAGAAAGCGAAACGTGTCGTGACATATCCTAAGAGACATCAATCTTGAAATGACGTCATAATATCAACACGCCACCGTCTACAATTTCTAACTTTCTGTTTCGGCATAGTACTGTCTTTCGACGGGTTTTGACTTCAGTGACTACAGGTTCGTTTCTAATTTCTACTTAAAAAGAGCTGGATATGATAATTTCGTTTAGTAATTGTATAGTTTTAATCGAGACACTCGCTCATAGAATGTGTGGATACCTCTTCATGCAGAGCTCTTCTTAAGCTGATATTTCAACAACTGAGGTAGAATCCGGCCCAATAGCGGAGTTAAATTCATTTGCATGAGCCTCAATGTACGAGGCTTGTACTAGTCAGCATCCTTGTGATATTATCACGGTTGTGAATGAAGCCATTGTCAGCTCAGGTAACCACTGTCTTCGAAACTACTGTCTTTTAAGTCGGGCTCAGTTTGTCATGCTCAAGTTAGTAGCGTGATTTCATCGTTCTAATTAAGAACTTAATTTAATCAGGAGTTGTCTTTGAGCAGGGCCGAAGGCATTTGATGCTTTAAGCAGCGAGAACGACTATTCAGGGAAAGTGCAACAATGTGACTACGGCTATGCCACTTAATTTACTTCCAACGGAACGTATTCCATGTGCACTTTTTTGCCGAAATAGTGGCAGCCATTTAAAATTTTAGGTGACAAGCGTAGGACAAGATTTTCTACGATATTTCCTCTTTTAACTTCGGAACACGTTTATTTATAGCGTAAGCCAACCGTGACCTGTAAGTGAGGTAATTAGCTAGAATAGATAGATTTTAAGTTTGTCATATAGCTAGAATTATTGCAAAGGTCTTCTTTGTTCTGTTTCTTTTTGGTGATACTTTTGTGCGAAAACGCCGCGGAACTTTCCCTATTGCCTTGGTAACATTATTTTACCTTTTTGCCTTACGCAGGAAGACGATTCCGATATAGTCGTGAGTGTCATGAGTGCCACCTGGTGCTGGATTTGCTTGCTGTTTTTCCTGGCGCTTGATGTTAACATGCAAATTATAACCATCAAGAAAGGTAACTTGACATGTATAGTTGCGGACTACTAGCGTCCTCCTCAGCAACAAAATCATGACCAACAGGTAGTTAAGAAAAACCCCTTTTAGCGACAAAAAATTAACAAAAAAAGAAATAAATAATCATGATAATGACAAGGACAAGGACAAGGACAAGGACAAGGACAAGGACAAGGACAAGGACAAGGACAAGGACAAGGACAAGGATAATGATAAAGGGACAAAGAAATAAACCATGATTCAGACACTTCAGACACTTTATTGTTTGCAACAGACTTTGGGGAGGGGATAGCGAAAAAATAGCTTAAAATTTAATTACGAATTTTTACCCATGAACTGCTACCCTTTTAAGCGCGACTGATAGATTGTTGTCCAGCTTCGGGCAAAATTATGGAATTATGCCAGTAAATGGTTAGTTTCGCCCGTTAGCCGCTTCAGTTATTACCTGGAGAGTTAATTCATGCGATTTGTCTTTACAGAGAAACGCCAAGC